AGGGCGGCCTCCCCACGGCCACCCGGTCCAGCCCTGAGACGGGGCTGGCCTGTGGCTCGGTTGCGGCCCAGAGCTGGCCGAGCCCCCGTGCTGCGGACAGAAGCCATGCTGCTTAATGCGCGGTCCCCAGTCCGTCACGGAACAGAGCGGGCGGGAAACAAACGGGTACCTGAGACACCGGCGTGACAGCCACTAGCTTGGCCGGCCCCACCCTGCACCGCGGCCCTGGCCCTCCCGTGTCCTGGCAAGGCTCATCTCCACTTCCGCTCTCTGCCCGCGGGGCCTCAGACGGCCCTGGGACCCTAGTGCTGCCCTCCGGTGGCCCAGTGACCCGGCCGGCCCCCCCCAGCCCCACAGGCCCCGCCACCTTGAGCAGCTTCTCTTTCCTGCGCCTCCACTCCTCCCACTCGTTGGCGATCCGGCCCCACAGGATCCACGTGTCCTCCTCCAGGTGGCTCAGGTTGGAGGAGGCCGAGGAGCTGGACACCAGCGAGGAGCCGCTGTTCCGCCGGGAGCCGTTCATGGAGCGCATCGACTTGGAGTCGGCTTCCAGGAGCCTGGGCAGAGAGGGGCTGGTGGGGGCGGGGCCCCGGCTGCGGCCAACTCCTGCCCCCGCCCCTGGGCTCTAGTGACTCTCTGGGGACAGGGCACCCCCGGGGGAGCCCGGCCCCTCCTCTCAGGAGTCCCAGACTGGGTCTAAGTTGTTCTCGCTGGGGGGCCTTAGCCGGTGCTCTACCCTCTCTGAGCCGTGGTCCTCATTCCCGGGCCCCCAGAGAGGCTAACATCTTTGTGTCCCGTTTGTGTCCAGCACGGGGCTGAGAAGCCCGTGCATTGGCGGACTCAGTCGCGTACCAGCACCGCAGGGCAGGGTTGGTTAAGATCTACGCTCTACGCACCAGGTGCAGGGAGGGCGAACCACTCAGCCAGCTGGCAAGCAGCTGTGTGGCCGTGTGTTTCTGCTGCTCTGCCATCTGGGGCCTCGCTGACCCCGGGGGGGGGGACCACCCTCTGGCAGCCTAGCAGATTCCTAGAGATGGGTAAGGACTTGCCTGCCAAGCGCAGTTTTCCTATGCAGACCAACCAATCTAGAACCCCCAAACCAACCCCTTCCCCTGCTCTGATCACCCCAGGGCCAGGTGCCAGGCAACTAGGCTTGGCCCTGCACCCCCGAGCCCGCTGAGATTACTCGAGCTAGCCAGTCGGCCTCGCTGTTCCTTCCTACAGGAACCACAACGAAGGCTCTTGCTCACGTCCTGCCTCATTCCCTCTGCCCCCTGACCGACTCTGGTGCTTTCCTGGTTAGCCCCACATGGTGTGCCGGGCCCCCTCCTCTTAGAGGCAGTGACTCACAAACTCTCTGTCCATTGACCTCATTGTATCCGAATAATAATACCGCCTACATTTTGAAACCAGGGGAAGGGCCAGAGGAGAAAGGTGGGAAGGCCTGGCTCCAGAGTCAGAGGATTTGTTCTTCCCTCCAACAGAGGCTCAGCCAGCGAAGGCCAGGTTCACTGGCCCTCTTGAAACCTTGGTCTCATCGGAATGGGGAAACCGATCATCCGGGGTTGGAGGACGGCAGAAGACGTCCCTTGTCAAGCCTCCGGTGGGCGCTGTTACTTTGCCGAGGGCCGGGCCCAGCTCTTAGTGTGAGGGGGGGCCCCCGGGAACTTCTGCGTGGAGCCCAGGCTGCACCCCTGAGGCCACTCCCCGCCCCCCAGGCCCCAACTCACCGGTTCTGCTCTTCAAGCTTGGCCAACAGCTCCAGCTCATCGGGGCTGAGGTTCTCGGAGTCAGAGGTGGGGGAGCAGGTGGGGGCCGACAGGGCCTCCTGGGATGAGGAGTCGGGGCTCAGAGTGGGGCTCGCCATGGTGGGCAGGCTCGTCTGCTGCGAGCAGGGCCAGGTCACAGCTCTGTCTGGGGGCCGGAGACATGTATGGTCAGCACTGGGTGGGGGCGCCTACCCTGTCTGGCTGGCTCTGGGCCGACTGAGCCTGCTGCTCGCCTGTGGACATTTCCTCACCTCGGGCTGCCCACCTCTGGTCTGTCCGCTAGGTGCACCCCCCATCCCCACATACTCCAGCCCAGAGGACGGCCATGCTGGCTCCTTCTATGCAAGACACCAGCTACCATGATCCCTGCCTGGGTCCAGGTGCATGGACGGAGACAGAAGGACTGCAGCCAGGGCCCGAGCTGCCCTGCTGTCCCCGGGCATAAAGGCCAGGTCTCAACTTGACATCCCTGAGTCCTCAGCAGGACCAGGGGCAAAGGCTCCCTGTCACTCAGGCCTTGGGGGCACAGAAGCCCCTGCTCCAGTGGCCCTTCCTGACGGCCTTGGTTCCTGTCTCTGGCTAGATCCTGTCCTGGGAGCCCTGCCTCAGCATCCGACCTTCCCCGTCTCATCAACCAAAGTGGGCGGCTGGCACAGCCAGAAACAATTATTCTCTACCATTGATTGGCTGGTGTTGCCAATGGCCGGAAGAGTCGACTCCCCTTGGGCTGGGAAGCCGGGGATGGACGCGTCAAAGTGCTGGGAATGTGTGGCCTGGTGGATGCAGAGCGAGAGCCACAGGCTCTCGTCAGTACCCCGATCTTGGCCGGGCGGCTGCCAGGCCCATTTGTCTGATTTTTCTTGGGGAGGATCTGGCCCCGCCCTCCTGGCAGCTTCCAGAACACTAGCCTCTTGCTTTCTGCCGGCTTCAGGAGAGGCAGCTCAGCACCGTGCCGAAAGCGAGGGCTCTGGACTCAGACGAATCTGTGTCTGAACCGTGGTTCCCCCTCAACCAGCTGGGTGGCCTTGGGCCAGTCCCCTGGTCTCTCTGAGTCTCCAAAGACTGAGGATCATACAGGACCTGCTCCAGAAGGTGGCGGTGAACCTGAGTGTGCCACCGCATGGAACGTGGGAGAACGGCGCCTGACACTTAATGACTGCTCTCTAGATGGTGGCCTTGATCATTCGTTCCAGGGCCAGGGCCAACGTCTAGCTGGCCTCCAGGGTTCTGCTATGCCTGGTGTGGGGACTGCTGGCAGGAGCTGCCATCACCCTGGTGGGAGGTTTTAGGGGTGGGGGATGGCTAGGGGAGCGAAGGCAGGGGCCAGGGGCGGTGTTCTTTCCACTCAGTCATGTTTCTGGTAAGCCCAAGCATCAACGGTCTGAGAGGATGGGGATCTCCAGGGCCATGGAGGCGGGAAGAAAGTGCTCCTCCCCTCCCTGTCGCTTTGGACGGCTCCTTCACGCCCCCCTACTCTCCTGCCATAGTCTGTGACAGGAATCCACTATTGCCCTTGGACCCCACGTGACCTGGCTCTGACAGCTCCGCCCGGAGGGGCCCTTGGCTAGGCCCCAGAGAGGGGGCATCTGGTCCCCTAGGCAGCAGAAGGACAATGACAGGACAAGAGTAGACCATTTCACACCTGCCATCAGGTCACTGGGCGCCTACTTGCAGCCTAAACTCAGACCCCAGCCGACACCTGAGGGCCCACTGGGTGGCTGGGCTTGACCCTGGCCATACACTTGATTCCAGCCTCCTTGCCCTGTGCTGCCCTGTCACGGGGTGGGAGCAAGGGGGCATCATTCTTTTTTCACCTTGTAGGGGGCCCAGAACCCTCCCTTCCCAGGTCTCTGTGGCTCCTCAGGGCCCCTGGTTCTGCCTCTGGCTCCCCAAGGCTCTCCGATTCTGTTGGGTGCCGAGGGCTCTGGCTTGGGTGGGCGGTACAAACTCTGGGTGGCGAACCCCAGCAGAACTGGAAGAGCTCTTCCTCCCACGGCCTCGCTGGCCAGCGACAACTGCCCCAGAGAACGGGCCACTCTGCACCGTCTAGCCAGGAGTTAACCTCTCCGGAGAGAGGTGGGGCCCGCTCCGGGCCTACCACTGAGTCAAAGTCTGTGACCAGCCAGGGCAGAGGCGGGCTGTGCACAGGAAGCCCTGACCTGGAAGGATCTCTCTGGGCGGGGAGGAGCTGGGAAGGCAGGCTTGGGAGGTGGGAGAGAGGTGGGGGAGGCGAGCACGGGAGCCTCCTAAGCACCGCTGGGGTGGGGGAGCAGTGGGAGCCCTGGAGCAAGAGACCACACGTGGCCAGGGTGGTGGTCTGGGCCCGCCATCTCAGGAGGCCTGGAGTGCCCTGGTGTCCACGATGCCACCCCCAAAGGACCCGAGGGACTGCTTCAACTCTGGCCTTCTGATTTCAAAACACAACCAGCCACTAGCAGGGCTTGTCCAGATATTTATCACATATTAATGTGGACTTCATACAGGAAGTAAAATTGATTCAATACACACGGCTGAAATTTGCAGTCCGAGAGGCAGAACCTTCTGATCCCTCAGGAACTTTCTCTTGACTCGTCGCCAGATTCTCTAAACACTGCCTGGCGCTGGAAGCTATCCTCCTGATGCGCACACACACACACACACATACACACCATACACACTAACACACACTCATGTAATTGACCCGCACACACCCACACATACTTACATACACTCACACACTACCTCACACCCCCTGCACTCACGGCGACACACACGATCTTGCACCCACACCCATGCGTACACACTCGGACACAGGGCCCACTCACACGCATCTACAGTCCATCTCACACCCACACATTCTCACGTGTGCACACACACACACATGCACGCACTTCCTGCACGGACCAGATCTTGCCACTCTTGGGACTGAGTAGGTTGGGACAGACACCGGCCCGCCACCCTCCTAGCCCTGCGGGTGGCCCTGCCTCCCCTCCAGAGAGGCCCAACTCTTCCCGGCTCACTGTCCTTCCCTGATGCTCACTGAGGGCCGTCTGAGGGCCAGGCACTGTTCTGGGCACAGGGAAACGGGGGGAAATAGGCGGATGGGGCACCGCCTCCCCTTCCTGACGGGTACAGAGACCCACAGATGGGGCAGTCCCTTCGAGGGCTGAGGGGCCACCGGCCTGAGATGCACATGCGGGTCCAGTGGGTCTGACGTGCCAGCCTCTCAGCGTCCTTCACTTCAAACCCCTTTGCCTCTGCCCCACCTCAGCCACTTGAATGGGGTCCTGGACCCTGCAGAGCAGGCAGTGGGCCGCCTACCCCTTTGCCTGCTGGCACTCCCACCCTCCACACGTCCACAGGGTGGCGCATGGCTTATGAGGCTGAGCCCATGGCTAAGCCAACCTAGAGGGGTGGGAAGAGACTGCCAGTGTGCTAGGGGCAGGGGGCGTGGGGGCAGAAGGGCCCAGATGCTGGGCGTTTTCTACTTCTCTCCCCCTCTCCGGCTGTTTAGACACTGCCAGCCATGCGCCCTCCTTCTTGAAGTCCTTTTCCACCCAGCTTCAGACAGGCCAGGCTCCTGGCTTCTCTCCCACCTCTCTTCCTGGGCTTCTCAGTGTCCTACACGGCACCTCTTCCTCCACGGGCCTTGCCTCGGCCCCTGTCCCTTCATGCCCCTGGTGGTCTCACTGTCGAGGCTTAAATGATCAAATAAATGCCACCAATTGGGACACTCTCCTTTCCCCAGCTTTCCCTTTCTCCTGAGCACCAGCCAAGATTGCCAACTGGCTCCTGAATATTACCCACCAGGGTAAAAATTGCCACTGTCTGGGTCCCTGCCAGTGTGGTGCCCTGCACTGAGCCTACAACATAGGAGTTGAGAAATTGAACCCACCTGCCCACCCACCCATATTTGCTGAATGCCTGCGAGGTGCTGGGCACCATACTGGGCAAACACCGACGCAGTCGTGGCCCTCCCAGAGCATACAGAGCATAGAGAATAAGAAACGACCATCCAAACTTTCTATTACAGATTGAGAGGCACGCTTGGAAGAACAGATAGCCCAGAAAATAATCTGGCAGTTCCCTCAAAAGTTAAACACGGAGTTACCCTATGACCCAGCAATTCTGCTTCTAGATATCTACCCAAAAGAATGGAAAGTGCACGGCCACACGCGAACTTGCACATGACTCTTCACAGCAGTGTTATTCGCAACAAAAAGTGAAACAACCCAATGTCTGTTGATGGATGAACAGACAAACAAAATGTGGTCCATCCATACAATGGAATATTACTCAGCCATAAAAAAGGAAGGAGGCTCTGACACCTGCTACAATGTGGATGGACCCGGAAGACATGCTCAGTACAAGAAGTCAGACACAAATGACCACAAGTGACATGTTCCATTTATATGAAATGTCCAGAGGAGGCATATCTGTAGTGGTGGCCGGGGGCCAGGGCTTAGGGTGAACGGGGGAGTGGGGGATTTCTTTTTGGATCAAGGAACTGTTCTGGAATTAGTGAGGACAGTTGCACAGTGTTGTGAATATACTGAAACCCATTGAACCATTCGCTTTGAAAGGGTGACTTTTATGTTATGTGAATGATCGCTCAGAGAAAATGATGATAGGGATGGGATGGGGTGGGATGGGATGGCAGAGGGACCACAGGGCAGAAGCAGGAGGGAGGCATGCTACTCTAGAGGAGACTGGAGAGTTCTGTAGAGGCCAGACCCCCACTGGGTCCTGTGGACCAAGGCAGGAGCCTGGCTGGCCTTGCATTTTAGGAAGACCTTCCCTAAAGCCAGCTGCTCCTCCTGATGCAGAGGGGCCTCGCTGGGTCTGTGGCGCTGCCCTCCACCCACCTGCTCAGGCCAAGCCTGGCGCTAGCCCTCTGCACTTGCCCAGACCCTTCAGCCACTCCCTACTTGGAGATGGAGACCAAATGTTTTTGCCCGGTGTGCACAGCCCTGCCGGCCTCCCCTTCTCTGTTATCCAAGCCCCACCAGGCTCAGCCCTCTGTGACCACCTGCTTCTTCCTGCCTGTGTCTTTGCACATGCTGTTCCCTCTTGCTGGAAAGGCATTCTCCAACATTTTGAATATTTTTTTTCCTGTGAA